GAAGAGTAGCTGGGAGAAGTAAGTATTCTGTGTAAATATTGGAACTTTGTTCTGTTAGCAGCAGGCAGAAGACTTTTTCTTCCAAAAGTTAGATTACCCTCCAGTGATTGCAGTGATCATTGTCTATGGGGAGAGGGGTGCATATTAGCCCCTTTCACTTCCTTCCGCTTGACATCTTTGTGGTGATTGGTGAGGAAACAGGAATGGAATAAGGGGGTAGAAAGCACATCTTGGGCTTTGGAGCCGCATTGGTCTGGTGTTGGGTGCCACCTATATTATCCTTCTTGCTTAAGTAAATTCTAAGCCTTGGTTTCCTCATCAGTAAAATGGAGGTGGTAGTAGTAGAACTTGGATTATAGGATCTTAGCACGAGGTCTGGTATATTGTAGGTGCTCAATAAATGGTAGCTGTGATGATGCTACACTATTTATTGGTCAGTTAATCTTTTCACTGAGCTTTCAGTCCCTTAGTAACAATAGAGACCAAGTCAGGTAAAAGTGGGGGAGGGTCAGTTTAGACTGTCTGTCAGAAAACTGTCCTTGGGAATGTGAGCTTGATTCTTTTTGGGAGATGACTGCAAGAGGAAACATCAAGAAGAAGAAATGTAAACACAAGAGGAGGAAAGGGCTGTTTCACACACAGTCTAGTTAAGGGAAGGGAGTAAAGAGCAGCCCTTTTTCAGGACTGATCTACTTGAACATGGCATGGACCTGGAAGAGGTCCTGCCGTCTGTGCTCTGGACTGGTAAGACTGCCCTGGATGTTACAGGGTAGTAAGCTGAGCCAGCAGGAGGAACCACAGCACCCGTTAGTGAGAGTGACAGAGGGACTCAGGCAGCTTCCTATGTCAGACAGCCCAGTGACAGAGGTGTGGGTGGAGGGGGTGGGGAAGCTGAGAACATTTATTTCTAAGCATATTAGTGGCAGCCCCAGCGATGCACCCACTCCCCACCGAGCTAGGGAGACTTTCAGGGAGTGATCTAAAAAGTAGGAATTTCCTTTTGAGAAGTGCTGATAAATGAGCTTCTAATGGACTTATGGACTGAGCATATCTTGAAAAGAGAAATACAGTAGACCACTTCATATAGAAAACCTGTATCAGAGAAATGGATCTATTACATTTTGAAAAATATTATTCATTCAAGGTAGTGTTTGTATTACACCTATCAGGAAAACATCACTTTAGGTCTCTTCTTTGAGTAAACCACCAAAAGATGTGCTTGGAGGGATTGTTAACGTTTACCTTGGCTTTCAAATTAGCTCTTTTTTGTTGTTGTTGTTGAATTCATAAAAGCTTCTGGTTTTAAATAAAACATTACCCTGTAAATATCCAATTAGAGTGTTCATAGTTCATTAGTGATTCATAGTTTCTAAATATTAGCAGAATTGTTGGCAGTATTCATTATATCTGAAACAAAAACACTGTCCTAAAGGTTAAATGAACAATTAATAATTGCACCAAACCAGTATATACTTGAGGCATCTTATTTGGTGGGTTTCAAAGAATACAAAGAAGGGCAAGTCACTTTCATATCCTCAAAGAATTAAATATTAGCTGTATAACCAAGCAATTGTGGTAGATAGTAGAGTGCCTGGCTATTAACTGGGTACTATACGAGGTGTGTTAAAAAGGTAATTCAATTTCTGGGTTGTGGTAAGCTCTCTCCCTCATAGAACTCAGACTTATGCACACTGAACAACATCTAGCTTTGGAAAGTAGTAGATGGTAAATACTACATGAAAAATATAACAGGAGGGTGCTGGGAGAAAGAGAAGGGTGAGATTGCTAAGATTTATAATGATCAATGAAAGCTTCAAGGAGGTCCAATTTGGGCTTGAAGGTTTGGGATTTGAAGTATAATGGAGGGGCCTATTTGAGGTGAGGAGTGAGTAACAGAATAATTCATAGTCTAGTCTACTGAAAGCAGACTGTTGATATTTAAGGCTAAGACTAGATTGTTTGTGTGTGTATGGGGGGGTGTCCTTGAAAGCCAGGTAGTAAGGAATTAAGGTTCTTATTATATGATAGTGTTTTGAACACTTTAGCTGCCCAGAGAGATACAGGCAGAGTTCAGTTATGATAGTAGTCTAGTTGAGAGGAGAGGAGGGAGGCAAAAAAGGTAAAAAAAACAAATTAAATTCTGAGCGCCATGGTGGAGGCTTGTATTCCGATGGGTGATGCAGCAAAAGAGGGAGGGGGAAGCTCTCCTTGGGGGTGACTCAAGCTGAGCTTGGAAGAAGGTGTGTGTGTGTGTGTGTTTGTTTTATTTAATTTATTTATTTGAGAGAAAGTGAGAGAGAGAGTATGGGAGGAGAGAAGGTCAGAGGGAGAAGCAGACTCCCCATGGAACTGGGAGTTGGATGCGGGACTCGATCTCGGGACTCTGGGATCATGACCTGAGCTGAAGGCAGTTGATTAACCAACTGAGCCACCTAGGAGCCCGGAATGTGTGTTTTTATTGAGTAGACAAAATTGAGGGCATGTAAAGCCAAGAAATAGGGGATGGAAAATAGTGGAGGTGTGAAGTAGCAAGGGCACCGGAAAGAACTTCAAGTGATTTGTTAAAGCCAAAGAGCAAGTTTGATAGGGACATCAGAAAAGTTGCCAAGACTGCAGCAGGCCTGTGTGCCCTTCAGAGAAGTTTGGCTTCTGTCCTTCAGGTTACAGTCAGCCATTGAAGGTCCAGGGCTTTGTCATGATCCACTGCAGTTTGCAGAGATGACTCTTAGCACACTGTAGAAGGTAGTTTGGAAGAGAGTGGGGAGCACACCTGTAATGGTCATTTTACACCTAAGTGGCTTAAAGGGCGAGTTGCATCAAGGGGACACACTTAGTGCCTTATGGTCATGGGTCCAGTTTAAAGAATTTTTGTTATATGTGTAATGTATGCAGAAAATCTTTCTGATGATTAGCCTTGAGAAGTTTCAGAAATATCCCTTTAGAAGATGACTTTATAGTAAGAAGAAGATAGCTGTGTGATTTTCTCACAGAGCTATTGTGTGGACTAACTGAAAGACCATGTCTAATATATTTTATCCTTATATGTATGTTTATACTTATGTGTATATTTATAATTTATATATAGATTTATATTTTCTTTGAATATATGATTGAACCTCAGATTAATAAGCTTTAACTTTGATGCCAATTTTCAGAAAAGTGAATCTCAATGTATATCCCCATCTGTGTCCAACCATTTGTGGGCTAGCATATATCCATCACATGTATGCAAGCATGTATGTGTGTACATACGTGTGTGTGTGTGTGTGTGTGTGTGTGTATGACATGGGACATGACCATCTTATCTGGGGCATATATAGATTTTTTTCCCTTTTCTGGGTATATTTGGTGATGTAAACTGGGATTAAAAACAGGTAAGAAGTGGCCAGTGTATAAATAAATTGGATGATTGTTACTGAGTTACTAAAATTTTATCTTCCCAATTCAGTTGGAATAATTTCATTAACAGTGCCTTAGGGAACAGGATATATGGTTGAATTTTCTTTTAGAAAATTGCTTAGTTATATTGGATCCAATTAAGTTTTGCATGTGTTATCAATGGCATTAAATGCAACTAAGTGTGGTGTTAAGTAAAATGAGAAATATTATTTTAGTAAAAATTAACTTGTACTTAATATATACTGAGCTAGTAAACAGCAAATGTAGGTCTTAACAATAACATCATTTTTACTTAAAACATGAAATGATCACTTTATTTTTAATATCCTTAAATTTCCTCATTAAACTGCTTATAATATTTATTATTTATGTAATAAATTGGGAGTTTTTTGTTTTGTTTTGTTTTTATAATTTATTTATTTATTTATTTTAAGAGAGTGAGTGAGCAGGAAGGGTGGGGCAAAGGGAGAGGGATCCCTGAGAAAGAATCTTTTTTTTTTTTTTTTTTTTAAAGATTTTATTTATTTGACAGAGATCACAAGTAGGCAGAGAGGCAGGCAGAGAGAGAGGAGGAAAGGCTCCCTGGCTCAATCCCAGGACCCTGGGATCATGACCTGAGCTGAAGCAGAGGCTTTAACCCACTGACCCACCCAGGCACCCCACTCCCTGAAAGAATCTTAAGTGGGCTCCATGCAGAGCCACCCAGGCAGCCTGTGAGATGATTGTTTTAAAATTTGTTAGTAAGTTCACAGTGGATAAGTTCAAGTTTTTCACTTTTGAAAATACTGGGAACTAGAAATGAGTATTTTTGTTCAAGGGTGAAAATTTTTTTTCTATAATCAAGATTTTAAAAGTCATAAAATCATAAAAATCAATAAACTGTTTTTTTATTGCTGTAATTTTTTATTTAAAATCTGTTTGAGAGGTGCCTGGGTGGTTCTGTCGGTTAAGCTTCTGACTCTTGATTTCATCTTAGGTGTGCCAGGCTCTGCCCGGTTGAGAGTCTGCTTGAGGATTTTCTCCTTCTCCCTCTGCCCCTTCCCCGGCTTGTGCTCGCTCTCTCTCTCTCTCTCTGTCTCTAATGTAAATAAATAAATCTTAAAAAAAAAAATCTGTTTGGAAAGTATAATGTTCTTAGAACGGTTTGGTGGAAATATGAATATTGCCATAATAATTTTGCGTTCTGTCCTGCTTGTCAATAAAAATATTTTAAAAGGTTTAAAAGAAAGCGCAACTACTTTGGTTTTCTTAAAAACAGGCCAAACTTCTGGAATGCTGTGAGTGTTGGCAAAGAGGTTCTAGTCTCCCTGCTGTGGCTAGCTGCCTCCCTTGTCCAAGTTGTTTACTAGTCTTGGGCCTTTGTTTCCTAATGAGTAAAAATGTGGTTGGGATGCTGAGGTTGGACAGTGAAATAGGTGGTTTACAGTTTATTTTTCTTCTGTCTAGTGTCCCAGGTATATGACTCTGTGATTGGTTTTCTAATCTCCATTCATTTCGTCCAAGTGGAATTTGGCTTTTTTTTTTTTTTTAAATGATGTTATCTAAGGATACTAGCTGAGCAGTTATAAACCTAAAATTTTTATTTATGTTTAAAATTTTAGGTATGCAATACCCCCGGAACATGGAAAACGACTTGAAAGACTAGCTCAAGGTAAACTTGCTTTCTGTGTTTCTCATCTGGATAGATACTTTGTTATTGTGGTATTTTTACGGTATAGGATGTTACCGTTAGTTTTACTCTTTCCAAGTTAATGAGTTTTTAATGTTTTCCTAATTGAACAATTAATTTTTTTTCACATTGCCATGTGACTATTTTTCCCTGTTGTATAATCTTCATGATTATTTTAATTGGCTGCTTAGTATTTCATCAAGTGATGCACTTAACCTATTTTGATTATTTCCAATTTTTTCTCTTTTATGTAACATATATATGTGTATGTACATATATATAAAACATTTTCTTAACATTATTTTGCTAATAATATTTTTCTTTCTTTTAAGTTATACTCTTGAGATAAATTCCAAAGAGTACTGATGCTGCATCTCAGGGTGCAGGTATTTTAGGCATACCCTTTGTGTTGTCCTATTATTTCACTGAGGTTGTGTTGTATCTCCTTCTGACTCCTGGTTTGGCCCCCTGGGTTTGGGATTGCTATTATGGAAGTATTAAGATGACTGTTCCCAGATAACCAGATAAGCATGAGCATGTATGCCTTCTTAGACAGGCAAATTTAAACATACCTTAGTGGAACTTGAATTTTTATTTTTTGTGGCTTTGTCTATCTTCATAAGGGCCAGAATGAACAACTCTATTAATGGGTTCATTCTGTATCCACTTGTATCTGCAGAAAGTGCCTTCCTCTTTTCTTTCTTTTTTTTTTCCCTTAAAGATTTTACTTATTTATTTGACAGAGAGAGCGAGCGAGCGAGCATGTGCACACAAGCAGGGGGAGCAGCAGGGAGAAGGAGAAGCAGGCTCCCCACTAAGCAGGGATCCCAGTGTGGGGGCATAATCCCAGGACCCTGGGTTCATGACTTGAGCCGAAGGCAGATACTTAATCCACTGAGCTACCCAGGTGCCCCTCTTTTCTGTCTTTAAGACACTGAAGAAAACCTTGCCATACCCGTTTATATAAGGGAGGAGAATCTGATTCACCCCCTGCCAACGTCATCTGTTTTGCTAGTCACCTTTACCAAGGAAGAGGTAGGCTGGTAGTGACTTATTTCTAGAGGAAGTTGGAGTTGCATTTGAGTGTAAGATGTTTTGCTTTTTATCCAGGATCAAATCCTCAGTGACCATTGTCCTTTTAGTCAGGTTCTTATCTGTTTTATTGGTGTGTTTAGTTTGCCTTTTAGTGGGAAAGGATTTTTGTTCCTGTCTTACATATGCTTTCATTTAATAATGAAATGGGGACACTGAAAGACCCCTTTTATTGACTTGACAGTTCTGAACAGAAATTGTTAATGCTATCTAAAAGTTACTTTCCCCCAAATTATAGAAGAGTATTAGAAGGAACACTTATATTATCACATTTGTCAGAAGCATTATTATAATTTTGGCAGGCTAATAACTATAAAGCCTTAGTGTTTTTATAATGTAATACATTGTAGTAATAATAGCAATGTAATTGTAATCTTGAACTTTGTTAGGGACTATTTTCATGAATATTAAGGTGGATGAACCCTGGTTCTGAAGAATAGATTAGAGTGTGGCTGAGAAAATGATTACCATAATCCTTAAATACACAGGCAGTGAACTTTGTGCTAAACCTCTATGCTGAACTATACTCTTCTCTATAATAATTATTCCACCATTTTCTATCTGCCTCACCACCAGAGACCTGGAGCCAATGTAAACTTTACAGTATGGAGTCACACACTAAAATTTCTAATATAAATTGTCTGCAAAAGCTTTGACATAAACTATCTGAAAATGACATTCTAGGAAAATGGGTACCATTTGTTTAATCAGTAAGAGGTTAATAAACTTGAAGGATGTACAAGAACTTTGAATCAATTGCACATTTACTCAAACCTGTTTTGCAGGATTATTTTGAGAAATGACACAGGGAAAAGACCCAATGAGACAGTAGAGGATTCCCATCCTAACTGAACATATGCCAGCCAAATTAATTACATTCTGCTAAATAATTAAAATGATAAAATAATGCAGTAAGTATGATGGAACATTATAGGATGTCTAGGTCAAGGCAGCACTTGATACAGAAAATGAAAAGCAGCCAAGGATATTTTCCATTATCTTGTCTGCACATCATAATTATCACACTTGCCTTTTATGCATGAATGCTTTCATCTTTGGTTTCTATTGAAATCTTGATTGACTGTGGCACCTACAAATATTTTATCTCAAAGACATTAAGCCTGCATCTAATAAAGCCAGGAGTTTGATTTTGCCCTTCAGCTGCTTTCTCATTTATATAGGGTTTTTTTTTTCCAATATTGTGTAGATGTAAGTGTAATAAAAAATACTCAAGTGAATTGTTGCAATTTTTATACTTGTTATGTTTGCCTATAATGCTATTACATTCTTTCTAATTTTTGGTTTGATACAATTGAATGGAAAGTATAGGGGAGAATAGAGGTATAATATTAAATCATGAATGACAGTTTTGAACATTTTCACTTTTAAGAATGTCTAAATCTCATCTGTTTTAGAAATAAGACAATATCTTTGCTGTTCTATTGAGTTAAGCAAAGTATGGATTGAAGTAAATTGGGAATGACTAAATTTTTTTACAAAGGGCTGTATTCCATTAGTCTTTTATTATGGATAAAATGCCAGCCAATATTAAAAAAATTGAAGATGATTTACTGTGGTCAAAATTTTGGTTACTGGGAAAAGAAAATATGAGTTAGGGCTTTGTGCAACTGAGTTTGGAAGTGTGAATGATCAGTAGGAATCTTGTTTCAGATCGCAGTAAGGAAAGTGAATTCTTGTACTTACAGAACAGGTATTTTATTTTATTTTATTTTATTTTATTATTTTATTTTTTTCCATTAACATATGATGTGTTATTTGCCCCAGGGGTACAGGTCTGTGAATCATCGGGGTTACACATTTCACAGCACTCACCATAGCACATACCCTCCCCAATGTCCATAACCCAGGCATCCTATCCCTACCCCCCAACCCCAGCAACCTTCAGTTTGTTTCCTGAGATTAAGAGTCTTTTATGGTTTGTCTCCCTCCTGGTCCCATCTTGTTTCATTTTTTCCCTCCCTACCCTCCACAACCCCCTGCCCTGCCTCACAAATTCCTCATATCAGAGAGATCATATGATAAGTGTCTTTCTCTAACTGACTTATTTTGCTTAACATGATACCCTCTAGTTCCATCCATGTCGTTGCAAATGGCAAGATTTTGTTTCTTTTGATGGCTGCATTCCATTGTATATATACGCACATCTTTATCCATTCTTCTGTTGATGGACATCTAGGTTCTTTCCATAGTTTGGCTATTGTGGACATTGCTGCTATAAACATTGGGGTACATGTGCCCCTTCTGATCACTACATTTGTATCTTTGGGGTAAATACCCAGTAGCGCAATTGCTGGGTCAGAGGGTAGCTCTATTTTCAACTTTCTGAGGAACCTCCATACTGTTTTCCAAAGTGGCTGCACCAGCTTGCATTCCCACCAACAGTGTAGGAGGGCTCCCCTTTCTCTGCATTTATCATTTCCTAACCTGTTAATTTTAGCCATTCCGACTGGTGTGAGATGGTATCTCACTCTGGTGTTTTTTTTTGTTTTTTGTTTTTTTTGCCTTCAATTTACCACTCAAAATTTTTATTCCATCTGCCTTCAATTTGCTTTAAAGGTCAAAAATTATACAATGTATGAAAATATATATTTTTTAAATTTTTTAAATTTATTTTCATTGTAACAGTATTCATTGTTTTTGCATCACACCCAGTGCTCCATGCAATCCGTGCCCTCTCCAATACCCACCACCTGGTTCCCCCAACCTCCCACCCCCCCGCCCCTTCAAAACCCTCAGATTGTTTTTCAGAGTCCATAGTCTCTCATGGTTCACCTCCCCTTCCAATTTGATTTGTATTTCCCTGATGCTGAGTGATGTTGAGCACTTTTTCATCTATCTCTTGGCCATTTGGATGTCTTCTTCTTAGCAGGTATTTTAGTTGTGACTTATTTTAAAACAACATTCAGGAAGGGAGGAACAGAAGAGTCATTATTATGAAGGATTAATTTTTTTTTAATAGTTTTGGGGTATGTGTGTTTTAATGACTAGTAGTCTTGAATTTAAGCCTGTGAAACAGAGAGTCTTAGCCCAATTTGTAGGGATCCCTTTTCTAGAAGGTGATCAAGTATCTGTGGGAGGGATGTAGGCAGTCTGTGGACTTTATGAAATTATACTTGAAATTGGTCACATGTGTGTATTTCTGGGAAGCAATTTTCAGATCCCTTCAGAGGGTTTGACCTAATAGAGATTGTGAACCTGCTGTCAAGAGACTAGAAGAGCAACAATAAATAACAAGTCATGTTAATTTTATGAAATGATTCTAACTTGACCCATTCTCATACCTCGTCTTGGAATTAAGAAAATGTACTTTTATCTGCTCTCCAAATGATAAATACTTTATTCCCTTAAACATTCATTTAGCTGATGGTCTGTAACTATTATATTAAAATGCCTGGCTGTGAAAGGCTAATAAATAAAAATACCCTTGATTATAAATAATCAATTTTAAGGAGTCCCCTAAGCCATAAAAAATGAAGAAATTCAGTGATATATTCTCTGCCTTCGTGCCTAACTCATGCCCTAGGCATGGAGATCAATGTATGGTGTGTCAGGGTATGTTATTTTCATCTTTTTATCAGTTGAGTTGTATTAAGAATGATTCAACAGTCCCTAAGCTTACTTTCGTCATAATTTGATGTCAGATATCATGGTCTGTGTTTAAATATATCTGAATATTTTATTTCTGGCTATGTTCTAGGATTTTAGGCATTGGTCAATAATACATAACATACAGCAAGCTAGTGTAATTCTAATGTAGGGTGAAAGACAATTCTGAGAAGTGACAGCAGAGATTGGGAAGGGAAAATTCATGAAGGGACTATCAGCTAGCAGGGGGGAATTACTATGGAGGGAAATTAAGACTACTTTGA